GGACATGTGTCTCTTACATTAAAAATAATTAATTTATTTCTTAGTAGTTTCAAGCAACCTTAACAAGTTAAACTTCTTCTTTTTGAGGTGCTATCTCCTACCGGAGTCGGCTATCATTAGAGCTATCTGTATTTTAGACACAGCAGCACGGAGCAAAGATCTAGTGCTTAACTTGAACCATGTCCGGAGATTCTTAAGCCACGAAGTACACCTTCTTCCAGGTGATCGCTTTCCCTGTATTTTTCCTTGCATAATTAGACGGAGCAGGTCGTATTTATCATTACGCATTATGTGACTAAAGTACTGTCTGTAGTTTGCGTTTTCTGACAGTACTCAAGATCTCTAATTTCTTGTTCATCATCTGCAATACTCTTTCATTGGCCACTCTATCCGTCCACGATATTTATAAAATTCTTCTGTAGACCCTCATTTCAAAAGCTTCCAAGCAGTTGCTCATGTTGTAGTTCAGGTTCAAGACTAGAGTCTTACAGGAGAACCGAAAATACGTAGCAACGTGCCATACGCACACTGGTAGAGATCTTCACGGATCAAATTGTAGAGTAGATGACTCAACTTCAGAAATGTTATGTTACACGCTTGTTCTATCCGACACACACACACACACTGACACAGTCTGATATCGTTAAAAAAAAGTTTATTTCCACCTGTACTTGCCAGTACAGGCACATGAGACTTGTCAACTTATGTCTCAGGGCGCAGTGGCAGTGCGCCTCGGATCTTGCAATTTAAAGCTCTGAGTGGCACTCCCACTGTTATGGACAGGCGTGTAGCTTACCATCAGGAGCACGACTTGTTCGTCCAGTCACTTGATGTTATAAAAAATAATCTCAGTACAGAGTACTAAAAAAACCGACCTCAAAAATCATTCATCCCCTAGTTTGCCACCCTTAGAGGTGGAACATTTTCTTCAAATTTAAATGAGACCACTTCTGATGTACTCTCTTTCCAACAAAAAAAGGAATCATCAAAATCGGTTCACAACGGGTCGGTAACATTCAAACAAAAAAACGTACAGTCGAATTGAGAACCCCTCCTATTTTTGAAGTCGGTTATAAAAACTTTTTTTCAGCTGTGCGTGTGTGGTGGGTAGTAGGGTAAGTGGAAGCGTCACGGTCGCTCGCATCCTTCGCACACGTCTCTCGCTTTTGTATATGCAAATAGTTAGCTCCGCTAGACGTTTTCGGAGTTGCGCTATGCAATGTTAGGAAAACGAAGTAACCCTATTAGTGGATTTCTTCCTCGCACACCGCCTAGCTACCTCACACATCTCTGGTGATAAGACAGCCTATACTCATAATACCTCTGATAATATCGACTACCACCGATAATTACATCAAAGGTTATTTAGTCCACTGTAATTTGACATATTTCCTGTATAGTGTACCGAGAAATCTAGACCAGTTCACCCTGAACTTGTCGTCAAGTATTTATGTCTAGATCTTGTAAGAGGCATAGATAATCTGAATATTTACAACCTTAGGCTACCTATATAATTAAAAATTCTTGAGATATTTAAAATTGTATACATTTTCAATGGTTACTTGCGTTGTGTTCAGGATTCCGAGGTAGGTTACCTACCACCGTCGCCGACATGTGCACTTCTTGTAGATTAGTTTTTATATTACATGTATGTTAGTTCCATCGAGTACATAACCATTTCATCGGTTATTAAATATGTAATTTTGCTTCAAGTTAAATTGGTCGATTTGAAGTGAAATAATTGTCGAAACCCGTCAATTGTTTCGAATTCGGGCTGGCCAATCGGAGCGCAGTTGTCACAGTAATGATTTGGGAGAATAGTTTTTAAACAAATTAAATGGCATTACGTCTCTATTTCTGGTTATATATTTGATGATTAGCTTTTAGTGCCTGACTGAAATGCTTAAAAATATACAGATCGTTATTATTCATTTAAAATTATATAAAAAAATGACACACCTCAAAATAACTTCACCTTCACGCAGGAAGTTTCTCTGTAATGACGTTGTCGAAATTCTAAGTTACCAATTTGCGAAAGCTGGTTTGTTTTGAACCGGTATTTTGTTCACGTGATGTATTTCATTGCCATTTTGAATCTATTTATAGATCCTCACTTTCTGTTGCATTATTAAGTCAAAGCTTACACTTTTAATTTGATAGTGATAAATAAGAACAGAAAGTAAAATATTTTTTGTAACGGTAGAACTCTTCAAGAGTTATTACCTATTTCTGTCGCCAAGCTGTAATGTAAGCGTTCCTGTTTTGGATAGTAAAAGCGCTGGTGAATTTACAGTCACATGGGACTTGTTAATTGTTTCGGACGGAGGACGTATGTAAACCCCCCTATTACACGAAGGCTGCCATTTAACATAGTCTTTACTTACTGTTGTATCCATTCCTTTGTGTTGAAATAAATAATTTTTATATCTATTTGTTCGTTATAATTTATTACACGTTAAAATGATGACACCAGAGAACGTGAATATTGTTAAAGTAATTTGTTCCACTAACGATATAAGCATTTAAAAACAAATTAAGCACAAGCATTAGTTATCTATACCTAAAGTATACAATGTATTTGTAACATATAACCTTATAAATAGCTAAATTGAACAATTTTTATACTTACGTGATACTTAACATGTTCATTTTTTTATATATTATATGAAAAGCTGTGTAGACCCAATAGAAAAGTCTCTAGAAACACATTAAGAAATTCGTTAGGTGAGTGAGGTACAGACCGAGTAACCAAAGACTCGGTCTGTTGCTCAGTTGGTTAAGAGCTGTATACGACATATGAAATTTATAACAAGCCCAGCACCGATTATAACTTTGATCTGTTTGCGAACTGTAAGTTTGAATTACTTTGGACAGCAATAATTTTTACGTATTTAAAGCTATTTTTTACCTTTTAGTTTCTAGTATAAATTAAAACTTCAAGACGAACACACGTAATTCTACTCAATAAAACATTTCCTTTCTACAAACAAGCAATTAACATTAACAACAACAACAAGTAAGTAAGGGTCAACAGCACATTATACCCCTTACAACAGGTACATTATTAAGTACATCTTACAGTTTTTGTCTTAGCTATGAAAATGCGTCTGTGACACTGATTTTTGGAAAAAAAACGTTCCAAATAAAATAATCTTCTTACAAGTACTGCCGCCATTTAAAATTCTGAGTGTCACTGCAATTGTTACGGATAGGAGTGTCACTTACCAGGCGCATGATTTGTTCGTCTCGTGACTAGATATCACAAAAAACTCAATAGCCGTTATTTTTTGTATGTTCATTAATATATACAAACGTTTATGTATATTTTTATTGACCCCATTTTTTCATTACCTTGAATCGTTGGTATGTCTTGGTTAATTTAAAATTCTATGACGTCAATCTTTAAAAGTCCACGTACCTAGTTGATTTTTATAGATGAATGGAATGGGTGGTACCTACTTTAAATACAAATATAAAAATATTTATTACTCTCTATAAATGTAAAGTACAAAAGTTTTGGTACAATAATATTAAAAAATTCCATTAAGACAGCTGGAGTTTGCACTAGGAAGAAACCAGTTTTGCGAATCCCCAGGCACTCCACCACCTAAATCACAGATGTACTATAATTGCATTGTCGTGTGTTTGAGTGTGATTGATTTTGTATGTGTATGTTTGTGTGTGTAAGGTTTTAAACCTTAGGAAGCGGTGATAATGTTTTTTGTACTATCGTAATCCAGTTTCGCGAGCCAATCGGAGAGTGTTTTTAACACAACGTATTAGCGTGGCTCTGAAGGTCACCGTAAAATAAGTACTACCACTGCACCTCTTTCTGCAGCTATTCTTCTTTTTCTAATAGGAGAGTTTGATAATATAGTTAGTATAATTTTTATAATCTTCACGTGATAAAAGCACTTGTGACGGAAAGTGCAAGTCCGCGTGTGTAGTATTGGCAAAAAGCGCGTATCTGCACCAAACCAAACGTCACAGGAGAGGGATTTAACGTTATTACTTTGTTATTTCAATGGCTTCGATTTCCATTTTTGAACAGTAAGCTTTAATTTATGTTGTCTACGGACTGATAATAATAGATTCCCGTAAATCACGCTAATTTGGTTTGCAAGATATTTACGCAGACCTAATTTGGCGACTAAGTTACCGTAGCAAGGATAATTGTATATATATAACGGCACGTTACTAAAGTAGTCGATTACTGACTATCAAAAAAAATATCGAGTACCTACTTTATTCGCTAAATCAATGACTAAAGTTATTATTATTTTATAGCAGGTAACACTGAATGTTGTGTGTTTTTCGGTGGGAAAGAAGAACTTTGACAGGTCGCCGGTTGTCGTGTGTACTTGCAAACTTGGCTGTATATGTAATTTCATTAATTTGACGTAATTATTCATCGCCAGCTTAACAAATTGATAATGAAGAATGAATATACTAATTTATCAAATAATTGCTGACTCAATTAGTCTCCTTCAACATCTCCCTGTTCGGTTATACTCCAACATATATATAATGAATTATATTTAAGATTCTATGAGAATACCGGCAATAATTCCTCCATCCATACTGCCTTATATGATAACTTTAAATAGATAAATAAATAAATATAAAGTAGATTCTGATAAATAAACGCAATTTGTCTACTTTTTTGTGGTGTATTTATCTGAAACTACGGGCACATGAGACATTTCAACTTATGTCTCAGGGTGACGGGCGCGGTGGCAGTCCTCCAAGATCTTTGCGATGTCTTTACATCGAGCTCTGAGCAACATTGCAACTGCTACGGACAGGCGAGTCGCTTACCACCAGGCGCATAACTTGTTCGTCCTGACAAATAAATAAAATAAAATAAATAAAAAATGTCTATAATAACGTTTACGTAGATTTTAGATAAAATTATATACATAGAATCTTTTTAAACATAACTCTCTTTCTCTTCTTCGAGTAGAAACACAAATCTGACTTAATTTTCTTTATTGTTTCAGGATTATTCGTTCTTCTCATGTTCGGATTCTTCTCGCTGGCAGCGGGTTGTTTCATAATGTTCCTACACCCCTACGACTTCTTCTTCAAAATGGTTTGTATCGTTTTTAATACAACATCGATGTATTGTAATATGATGTCTTGAGCCAAAAAATAATTTAAATAACGTAATTAAAAATAACGTAGCAGATAACCACACCGTAGCAGTAGAGCTCCATGTGAAAGGGTTCGTCCAAGAAAGTACTGCCACCTTACTATTTCTGGCGCCAAGCAATAATGTGAGCATAAGAGACAACTTTTTTAACTGCTCAAAAGAAAAATGCTGAATCACCCCAGGGCCAACAAAATATGTTGTAAATTTTACACGTATTTTGTAAGTTTCTGTATGGGATAACTGTTGTGCTTTTGTTTTTTTTTCTATCTTCAAACATTCATTTGATTCTTTCTCGTTTTTTTTATTCCGCTTTTTACCATTTAAGGAAATTTTAACTTCTGTTTTATAATTGACTATCGCTATCGGTTTTTGTCGTGTAAATTACTATTATTATTTCTGTTCTATTCTTTTCTACTTTCGCGCTACTCAAATAGCTTAATTCAAGGTCTATGCAAATTCTGCTTCATTTTCACCTGTTACACAAACGTAAGACCGTAGCTCCTGCCAGGGAGGTTCTGGCTGAAAATCAATGCTATGCAAACCATGTTTGTTGGGCTCAGAATACTCGCCACACTTCTTTGGCCATAGATATAGTTTTGACTTTTTAGTTACTATTTGTATGTTCGATTTTTCATTTGAATTTGATGGATGGGAGTTTGACTTTTAACACCAATGTAAATGCGATGCAGTACTGATGCAGTGGCTATCTTTTACACACGCGCGCAATTTTAAGTAGCAATGCAAGCGCGCGACTGCATCAGTTCAAACGCGCGATTGCATCGCTACACTTGGGATTTATAAGCGATTGCATCGATGCAAATCGCAAGTGTAGCAATCGCGCGTTTCATGAACGCGCGTTTAAATCGCTAACTCACTGACTGTCGCTGTCACTCTTAGTGCGTTCCGGTTTTGAACATAGAACTTGTCAACTTATTATTACTTTCGTATCTATACTGGTTATATACTCGATGCTCGGCGTACACGTCTGATTCCAAAATATCGATAAACCAACTTTGAAAAAGATTTATTTATTTAAGTAAGTGGGTTAATTATAAACCTTGAAAATCCAAAATTAATTATACCACATAAATTTATCTCTCACAATTAAATCATTTGACATTTTCAATTTTATTACATATTATTACAATTTTATTATATGTTTTCCTACGTATCACATGTGTAGGTCAAAAAACTATATATATTACAATAATAATAAGATATTTATCCACTCTCACAAAAGGAAGGTTTGTTTATTTACTATTCCTTAAATTAAGCGAGAAACTACATGGTCTGTAGTCTTATAGTCTGTCCTTTTTGAAGACGGAGTAAAATGACATTTGTAGGGTTGTCAGTTTTCTATAAAATTTTAAATAGTTATGTAGTTGTTGTCGATAGTTTTATCGATAGGTTGTGAAAGAAGATAAAATTTTGCCAAAAATGACTGAATGATGAAAGTTACTACGTTGTATTGATTACTAATTGCGTTATTGCCTTCTTTATTCTTATTTTGACAGTTGGCCTATTAGTATCGAGATTAATTTTTATTCATATACATTTAACAAGTATAGCCGGATTTAATTGTCTGTATTGAAATGAAAACCTTTAAAATTTGTCTCCTTTTTGTATATTTCATAAACATAGTTCTAAATACAGTGTATGTATGTATGTATGTATTAACTTTAAAAATTTGTCAGTTCAAATGAACTTGTGCTCAGTAATTGCATGAGAATGGGTCGAGGATGATTCGAATGAAACAAGTTCGGCTGTTATTCAATCGATAGTCGATAGAGTATTTATCGACTGCAATCACAAGCTACTCGCAAGCATCATTTTACTCCGTCTTCAAAAAAGATAGACTATTGGAAACTAAACCTCTGGTACAGATCTCCAGGCTGAATGAGGACTGTAATTATAACTTTTTTGTTAAAAAAAAACCTACTACAAAATATTTATTAAATATAATAATATAAATAATATAAAAATAAAATATTTATTAAGTATCTACTTTCGGTGTATTTGAAGACCCTGCAGTGGAACGTACAATGAGTTGACGTTAAAGTGGTCTTTTCAAGTGATAACGCACGAATTTGTTATAAATTTAAATAATTCGACTTATATGGTTAAGTTGCAAATTTTAACCTTTTCTCAAAAACAATATTCGATTTTTGTGCATAACATTACCTTGGTACTTTGTCCTTTACATTTCAGAACTGGGCATAGACGAATTTTACAGTCAGTGCCTGCGCTACACCACGTAGAGCTCTACGTGGTGGTATCCTACCCTAGCGCCTTTTAGTAAGCACACACAACCCTCCTTAATTAATTAATTACCAACTACCTTAAAACCAGAACTGAACCGCGAAATTATTAAAAACAAATGAAAGAAAATTTCCTTGAAAAAATAAATTAAAAGTAATTTATTGAGTTGTTAGGTTTTTGCGATTGTTACCCATAGGGAATGAAACTATTTTTCCGATCAACCGTGACAATGGGACCTGTAAAGAATTTTTTAAAATAAATTATATATTATGTTGGTATGCCCACACACACACACAATAAACAACTTTTTGTGTAAACAAATAAAAAAATAATAAAAAAAAACAATCAAAATTGAACAAATGAATGAATTATATTTATTTAATTATTAGTCCAAAGATCAAACACGAAGTAAATCCCTTGATGAGGGTGCTGATGAAATTACATGGGACTAGTCAACTTATGTTCCAGGGTGACGTCGACTTTGCGATTTACAACTCTGAGTGCCACTGCAACTGTTATAGATAGGCATGTAGCTTGACTTTACTTACTTAGGTCTCAGCCGACGCTGAAACAGGAACGACTGAAAATCAGCGTCTGTCTCGCCTGAGAAAGACTTATTGTTGAGTCGAATCCTCTTCTTTTTTTGTGCCACTATTACACACTTACTAATTTAGCATCGCGCAGCCATTTGTTGTTTTAGTGTTGAGTATTAGATTTAAGTGCGTATAGTGACTCAATTTAATGTGTAAACGTATTTCTTTTTTTCTTTCTGTACCATCAGGCGCACGACTTGTTCGCCCGGCCACTTGAAATTATAAAAATAAAAAACAGAAACAAATTCCTTCTAACCTACGACCACGGGAATGCCGTCCCTTCGCTTTTCCAACTTAGCTACAGATCGAGTTAACAGGTCGAGGAAATCCTTATATGTCTTTACTTGTTGAAGTTTGTCAACCTCTAAATTAAGAAGCAAGCATTCTTACAAACGCTATTTATTATAATAACAATAACTGCTCGAATATGAATAGTCTGTGTGTTCAGATTTCATTCATTATAGTCATTATAGTCGGGGATAATGCGTAAATAATAATAATAATAATAATAATAATAATAATAATAATAATAACAACAATAATAATAATAATAATAATAATAATAATAATAATAAGAGCTTTATTTATCTACATTAAATAATAATTTAGCCTTAAATAACATAATCTGAAGTTACACATGTAGATAAAAAGGCAAGAGTCTCAGCTTGAGCTGTTTTTCAGACTTTACCTTTTTGGTGAAACGGTACATTTAATTCTGTAATATTAATAATACAATAATTCTGACGTGTCTCGACAAGCTCCAGTAAAATGACTAAAGTATACAATTTAAACTTAAAGCTATGATTACATTGTCATAATGGTACCAAATCCACATAAATGACGTTGGATTATAAGTTTTTTTTTATATGGGGTCGACGATGTAGCGTGCACACCTAAATAATGCCTATTCGCTCTCGCCTTGAAAAGGTCCAAGTTACAGCGTTCGGGGAACAAGTCCGCAGGCATGGAATTCCACTCTCTACCCACTCGCCATATGAAATATGTAAACTAAAGGTTTCGTGCAAATCCTGGAAATATCTACAACAAAGGGATGGAACCCCAGCCCACGTCTAGTTCCCCGAAGGTGGAAAGAGGAAGGCGGAATCATAACATGCACTTCCATCGCACACTCTCCGTGATATTATATCCTGTAGAAAAACGTTCTGTAGCTTTGCATTTCGGTGATTTAGCAGCCAAGTCAAATTCTATTTATCAATAATATAATTTACGGGAATCTATTGTTATCAGTCCGGAGATAACGTAAATTAATGCTTACTGTGCAAAATTAGAGTCGTAGCCATTGAAATGAGAAAGTAATAACGTTGAATCCCTCTCCTGTAAAAATTTGGTTTAGGGCAGATACTACACGTTTTTTACACAACAACACATAAGCAGATTTGCACGATCCCCAACAATATTACCAATTACCACTCGGATCTATGAGGATCTGACTAACATTCGAGTGTCACTGCGGGGAACCTTGCGCAAGCTATGTACGCTATTGCTAATGCATGCGTATGCGCCGTGTATGGGATAACGATGCCTCTTGAATCTTAACCTTGGAAAAGCAAAAGGTACAAGGCGGTACAGCATCCATGTGCAAGTGTACAAACGCGTAGCTTGCGTAAATGTACTCGCGGTGAAGATCAACCGTGTAGACAGGGCTTAATCGTTAGCATGCGCTGTTGCGCGTTTAGGAAGTCAACACACTTCGTAACGGAATCGCATTAAACTCAGAAAAAGCATTGTATTAAGAGTTGATACTACAGTTTACAGGAAAACCGCTGCATTCAATAGGTACTTCACATATATCAATGATTTTTTTCTTATCAACTGAACACGTAGTATACGATATACATTTTCTAAATGGCTTTAATGTCTATTTAGTGTTTCTAAAATAATAAATTCTGAAATAAAGTCAGTGACCCTACCGCGCAATACAACCGATTCTCGACAATATGATTGATTTTCTTTCTTTCTCTCGCGCAGAAAGTGGAGCTCAAAGATGGCGGCGAGATCTTCGAGATGTGGCGGAAGCCTTCTGTAGAACTCTACTGCAGAGTATTTCTGTTCAACGTTACTAACGCCGAAGAGTACATGGCCGGGATCGACGACAAGCTCAAGTTTCAGGAGATTGGACCTTACGTGTACAGGTACTGTGAAGAAATATAAAATATTTATTAACAATGACATTCACAGCTCCAAAAGGCCTTATGACTAATACATGAAATTGTAATATAACAGAAATTATTACATTTATTCAGATATTTTGTGAAATTACTTCACTAGTTTGTTATAATTATTAATACAAAGATGGAATACTTACAAAAAATGCTTTCGATCCGTCCAACCGACGTCTTTTAGCAAACCGTGCCAGAACCAGCGGACATCACGAAATTCTCTATGAACTTGTTTGTCGGATCTTTGTATCTGGTTTTTGCGACTTTTAGCCGTAGCGCCATCTATGAGAAGTCTATGAAAGTATTTCGTCACCCAGTTAGGCACCTTTACAGCTACCAGCCCTGGCTAGAGATGTCGCTATTCACTGTAATTTAGTGTTTTATTGAATGTTAGGACGTTTCGCCAAATACAAAAGATCGAACACCTAGAAAATATCCTTCGACCCGGTGGAACTTGAACCCACGTCCACGCTGCACCTTAGCATTGCTCTAACCACCTGAGCCATGAGTCCAGTTACCGAACCGTCGAAATTCTCCTATATATTTTTGATAAGATCTTTGTACTGACTTTTCGGCATTCGTCGCCGCTAGTGACATCCAGTGAGAGATTTTTGAATACGCAAGGATTGTGTTATGCGATAGTGCGTCATGAATTTTTAATTATTTAATATTCGGTCCTCAGTTTGTTGATAATCAATATCTAATAATCATTTTTCTTGTCGTGTGGTCAAGTTCTTAACTTCACGAAGTTTATGGCAAATAGGGTTGTAAATTAATGGAAGTAAGTGAATTATTTTTTAACGACCAAAAAAAGACAGTTATGGACAGGCGTGTCGCTCACCATCAGCACGACTTGTTCGTCTCGACACTTTAAACGTCAAAGAATCATCGAAATCGGTTCACAAATGTCGAATTGAGTCGAATCCTTTTTTGAAGTCGGTTGAAAAATAGTTCTATGATCGTTGTCATCTCGCTGATATTCTGCCATAGCCCGTGATGATTAAGATCTCGTAATAGTACAATGTATATTAAGGGCGATAAATAAGAAATTACGAACGAGACTCTATTAGTGCTCTACTCCTGGAGCGGAGTCGGTAATGAGAAGGCCCAAGAGCCGTTTTTTGGGCCATGATAGTCGACTTAGCCTACATGCAATCATACATATGTATATTTAGGAGCAAGTGTGATAAAAAAAAGATTACACAGTAAATTAACGAAATCTTTTCAGGGAGAGCCTTGAGCATGAAGTTACGAAGTTCAACGACAACGGTACCCTTTCTGCCATCCCTAAGCACCCTCTCACCTGGGTGGAAGAACTCTCAGAAGGCCATAAAGAGGACGACGTTGTTTTCATGCCCAATATAGCCTTATTGGTAAGTGCTTTATTAATTTATTTAGTATATACACAACAAAACAGATACAATCAAATCCCATTCTACAACACATAGGCCGCGCGTTCCGTTGTGGCAAGGTTCATATGAACTCGTACATTAGAAATATTCCCGCGCCCGGAACGCTTCCGCGGCCACCTCTGTGTGGCCAGATATTACGGCGCGTTCCCATTGTGTCGTGACGACAGATAGTCGTGTAGTTTAAAGTGTCGTGGCTTGTATATTTAAATGAATTTTTTTACACATAGTACAACACGATTAAAGATAATATTACAAGTGCGACTACCATTTTCGCATTCGAACCACTTTCGAACTTTCTACGATTAACGTTAAACAAAAATAACGGACTGAGCTCCAGTTTGCGGAACTCCGCGGACTGTTGGCACACGTACCACGTATTTATTGTTCTATGTTCGGTACGGTGGGCAACGATGTTAAATTTTTATCGCGTTTCGCAATGCTCGGTTATCCAACAAAGAACTAAGGCCGTCGACATAGCTGGTAGAATAAGCAAGCCGAAGTGGCAGAGGACTGGCCATATCTGTCGAAGAACCGATTGGAAAACGTGGTATATGGCCAGCTCACTTCAAATCGTTATATTCGTCATCATGGGTACAATAAAGACGTTAACATTTATTTTATGATCACCATGACGTACCATCAAGGCATACGAATTATACTTTTATTAATTATACTTGTCCAAGACTTCGAAATAATAATAATAAAATAGCAATATTACAATCGTTAAATATTCATAAATCACTGATTAAAAGCTTCCACCTTCACAGGACAGTAAAAAACCAAGTCTTAAAATCTATAACAGTTAGGACATCAAAACAAAAGTAATTTAATTAAGATAATATTAATATAATAAATGTCAAACAGTCACGTTCGTCTCAATAATAAATAAATTAATGTAAAATTAGTTAACAAAATTCTTTTAACGTATAAAATGATTTTTTCTATTAAATACTCAACATTTTTATTCCGCCTTAACTGCATTGGCAATTTATTGTAGATTTTTGGTGCCATTGCGATTATAGTCTTCTCAGATAGTGACGTTTTACAATTTGTTTGACGTAGTTGGATAGGATGTCGTGCTCTTGTAACTACCGGAAAAAGTTGAGGGTGTTGTTGTATAAATAAGGCTGTTTCATGGATATATAATTGAAGGCAAGGTCAACATTTTTAGTTCGCGAAAATAGTTTGGAAAATAGATGGAGTGACGATTTGCGAAGGGCTGCTGGCAGCAGATGGATGCAACGAGCTGAGTACCAGACGAAATGGCGCGCATTGGGAGAGACCTATGTGCAGCAGTGGACTACGATAGGCTGTTGAGATGATGCAATGCTCGGCCTCAACCTATACATCGGTCGTAAAGTTTTAAGTTTTGAGGCGCATAAACGATTACAAAGTCACTCATTTATATATGTTAATATCCAATTATAATCAAATTTCGTTTGTATAGAACGCACTAACAGGGCTGTCTTTAGAAGGTTTTGTGGCCTTCTTCAAAATGGCGGTTTCTTCATATATTAAATCAAATGCCTTTGTGGCCGAACGGTTGCCATGTTGGACTGCCACGTAAAGGTCCCGAGTTTGATTCCCGGGCGAAATATTTGTATGGCCTATATTTGTTTCTCTCGTGAGTGTAATTTGTGTTTGTCTATGTGCACATGTTACCCGGGACACAGACTCTCCCTAATGCGGAACTATGAGTGTGTGCGTTAGTTATTATTAAATTATTATCTTTTTTTATAATATCAAGTGACGGGACGAACCAGTCGTGCGCCTGATGGTAAGCTACACGCCTGTTCATCAATGCCACTCAGAGCTTTAAATCACAAAGATCTGGGGGGCACTGCTACTGCGCCCATCACCCTGAGACATAAGTTGACAAGTCCCATGTGCTATAATTTCACAGAACAAAGGCTGCTAGCCAATCAACCCGTAACTATGGAGCGATTTCCCCAGAATATGGAGAAAATTAAAAGAATTCATAGCATGAAAGAAACCTGTAATTAGTGATAATAATTTAGTGAATAACCACGAAAGTCTTAAAGTCTATTCAAAATCTTGTGTTGACATTTAGCAGCTATCACTTATTCGTACATAATATATTACTAAAGTTTAAATAATATACTTAGTTCACATAAAGTTCATTGACTTAGAATAAAATCTTAACTTAACCTTTAACGCACGTATGAATGTACTTAACACGTTGCAACACCGGATGACTTGACACTTGGGAAACTTAGAATGGGCATTCTAGAAGCTTATATTCATTTTGTGGGTTAGTAGTGACAGTGTTGTGACATCTTTGAGTTTAAGTGCGTCTTTAGACAAATGACATGATACTTGTGACAGATCGTAAAGATATTTTGTCTCTGTCTCTTAATAAGTATTAAATTTGCACGCTTTCGTGAGCTATCTAATAGCTATATAAAATAGGCTTTTCAAAGAAAACAACGTTTTGGACCTATCATAGATTCCATGGCCACGGCTGACATAGTAAAGTCATCAACCAGCTATATCTATTTACAAGCAAATGATGACGTACTATTAGTAACACGCAGGACGCGTACTAATGCCATACTAAAAAATACATCTTCTTCTTATCGTATCGATGGCACTATATTGTTGCGACCCAGGGGGCCTACCACAACCTCATAGAACAATTTTACTTTAACCTTACATTGACTTTTTGTACCATGACGCGCTTAAAGTAAGCTTATTATAATGTTAAAACTATGATGTTTTATTGGCAGCTTTGTGACTATTCATTCACTCAGTTCGTACTATGACGCGACTTAACATTAAGTAATATTGTTCTTATGTCAAATGTAGCAATCTTAAAATAGTTACACGGATGCAACGGAAACAATATTATTTTCGAATTTATTGTCTAAATGTTGATTTGTTATGATTAGAAGTTAAGTTGAACTTATTTATTTACATGTATCTCATCAATATTTTATTTATTTTTTTATTTAATTGTAATAAGGAAATAATTTCTTGTTAAATAAATATACGCAATGTTTATTTCGTAAAATTATGACAGCGCCATCTATATGCTTCTTGGCGACACTAACAGTTGACTATAATTCCCAACTCATCAAGACTCAGCTTGTTTTATTTATTTTTCTTCATGAAAATGCGGAAAAAAATTAAAATTAATTTTAATAGATTTCATTAGTATTATACTTTTCTTTTTTTTATAGTTAAAATTCTCTGAATGTAAATAATATTAAGTACTTTAACATTATAACGCGGCTAAATGACAAAATATTTTTTTGTGATATCATAAAATACCATAACCCAGTTTTAGAAAATTGAAATTGTTTTATGATATTTCAGCTATCGTTAGGGTAAATTCCGATAAGTTGAACACGTTAACTAATTTTAACTGTTTTTAAAAGATAATTTTGTGCTCTATTTTTTGCTATTTAAAACGGATATTTGACCATTTGTCATTAGCCGCGTTTTAGTTAGTGGACGACAGTGCAGGTCTGGACGACAAACCTTTACCGTTAGCAAGAAGTATTGCTACAAATGTACGCAACTTAGAAATTATATCGTAAAAGCTCTAAAAGCTCATACTTAACTAACAAAAAGTAGCCGAAAAAAAATTTTATACTTTCCCTCATACATTCACTTCCTTTCGCAGGTTGCGACCTTAGCGTTGGATTCATGATCATTGCCAATTAACAGAGTCGAAATTAGGACAAATAATCGCCCCTAATCATTACATATTAACTACGTTCCATTGAAATTTCTTCTTCTTCTTTGAGTCTAATTCCATTAGTACGTATCTCCTTTTTTCACAAATTAATATTCCATGCTATCATGCCACATATCCAGGCATATGGCATGATAGCATTGTACTAAGTCCAGACTGAGTACACCTGTACTGAAGTTCGTATTTCGAATACGTTTAATAAAACGTGTTTAATTTATTACTGAAAATTTGTAATTCCTTGTATTCAACGTAAAGTGACACCTTTAATATCATTTTATGTAAAGTCATACATTTTTCAGTCCATTCATGTGCGTGTACAAAAAATATTATAAGCAAAGTGATATATTGGAAACAAAAAAACCAAAGTGTTTTTGTATATAAATCGCATATATTTGACTTTTTAAATCCGTTAGTGTGTTTGAAAAAATAAACAAATATAAGTGCAAGATTTACATATGCGATGACCAAAGAACTCCAAACATGATATTATAACTTTTTATTCTTGAGAAATATTTATCTGGCCTACATTTATTTCTCTCGTGAGTTTGGGTGTAATTTGTGGTTGTCTATGTATGTGTGTATCTATAGCACCCGTGATACAGGATTTCCCTAGGGCGGGGCCATGAGTGTATGTGTTATATATTATTATTATTTGTATTAAAACACACCATAAAATCTTATACTTTCACTTTATTTAAACAAGGCCACACTACCTGAGTGCGTATCTGTGCATTTCTGCCAAATTTAGCACATCTGAACTTGAACTTGTATACGAAAATAAATCAAGCTGGCATTTTTTCTACCAGACTAACTGTTCAGAATATTTGAGTAATTTTTTAAGCACGTCTATCTACACGTTGACGGATCTTGTTCCATTGCCAAGGAGGTAATATTCGAACAAAAATGTATAGCTTGATGTGCTGTTAATTACAAGTACATAAAAATATAAAAGTTGTTGTTTATGATGTTGATAATATAGTCCTGCGAGCTATTTAATGTTTTACAAATAACTCTATGTATATTTACAATATTCTTTATCTACACGCATATCATAAACCCTCTATGATGTTCAAAAACCACAAATTACGACCAGCATAAAGATAAACTTTTTTGTTAGAACAAATTTCTTTTCTGTGACAATGTTATAGCGTCAAATTCGATTTTATTATTACATTCAAATTTCGAACATCGCTGAAAACCAAAACAATTTGATTCGACCTCAATTCTAATATCAGTCGAGATG